CCCCCACCCCCACCACACACACACACACACACACACACTATCCTTGTGACTCCCCCCCAACTCCTTTTTGGGTCAGGACTCCTACAATTATAACCCTGTGAAATTTCAGATTTAAATTGTTGAAATCATGATATTTACTATTTTTAAAATCCTATGGCTGTGAAATTGACCAGAATGGACCATGAATTCGGTAGAGACCTAGTTATACAGCAGGTATGGCCAAGCTGCAGTTGGTGAGCCACAGTGCCGTTCTTCTCGTTAAAGTGCAGGGCTTGCAGAGAAATTTCAGGAAATTTTGTCTTTCTGTATTTAGACTTTGTTCTGTACAGACCTGGTGTGCTCGCGATCTCTCTGCATTCTGCAGAATACAGGCTGTGTTTATGGTTCATAAGTTGCATTTGAATAGTTTTTAGGTTTGTGTTAACCCTACGTTAATTTCATGAATGACAATATCCTCTTCAACTTGTAAGAAATGCAAGTATGAAGACGAAAACCGAAGTTTTGAGCCAGAATGGGAGGAAGAGTTTGCATTTACTGTTAAAGGTGGCAAACCTCTGTGCCTTATCTGCAATGCATCGCTCGTTCACTACGAAGCGAGCAACTTGAAACATCGCTATGAAACAAATCACAATTACTTTCATCTAAATACCCTCCTGAATCAGAATTAAGGAAAAACAAGCTAACCACATTAAAATTACACCTAAACAGTCAGCAGACGCTGCTTTCAGCATTCAGTAAGGAAGCTGACACAACGACTGAAGCCAGTTTTATTATGTCCTGGAATATCGCTCGTGCTAAACATCCATATGCTGATGAAGAATATTGTGGAAGTGGTTGCAATTTTAGATCCAAATAACACACAACTTCAACGACTAATAAAACAGATTCCAATTTCGTGCCACACTATGGAGACGCGTATCTTCCCAGATCAGTGCTGAATGTTGCAAGCAAGAAGCAAAACGATCTAAAGAATTCTCTAGCATTCAGCCTAGCTCTTGACAAATCCACAGATATACAAGATAAACCCCAACTAGCGATATTTGTTTGCTACGTTTCCATGGAAGGATAAGATTATATCTGAGCTTACTCAGACAGTCTTCATCTTCCAGAACAAGTTAAAGCTTCTGCAAAGAGACATAGTGTCGAGACTTCAACCACTTTCCCCACCTCAAGAGGAGGGTAAACATATTCCCCGAAATCAAAGTAGAAGATCACAAACTCGAGGAATTCAGAGGTAAATTTCAAGGACTGCTTGGTGGCTTTCTGGCCAGGTTTGAAGACTTGCAGAAGTTAAGATCCTGCTTCGCCTTTCTTGTAACCCCATTCATGGTTGATGTGATCAACGATGGCTGTCCAATTCCCAAAACCATGGTTACGGAAACCCTTACTATAGAAATGGAACTCCAGGAGGACCAGTCTCTAAAGATGATGCATAAATCAGTCTGCAATCGAGTTCTGGAAGCAAGTGCCAGGAACAAAGTATCCTCAACTCAAGAAGACCAGTGTGTGACTCATTCAATTTTCAGCACAACATACTGCTGTGATCGCTGTACTTGCTGCCGAAGTTGGTAACATCAAAACCTCCTGCAGTCCTTACAAATCAACCTGCGGAGACTAGACGGGATTTAAATTCTGTGTTGTAAATCAAAGCTGATAATTCACTCCAATCTGCTTTATCCACTCCACAAGGGCCATACCTGAACATATCGGAGTGACCAATATATAGATATTTTTTTCCTCGTTGTTTCCTTGTGCTCATCTGTCAGTCGGCCTGTATCATCTGTTGTCTCTTGCCTTTGATAGTAAATTCTGCGACGGTGAAAATTGTCTGTTCTGTGTTTGTCCGTCACTTAGCACAGCGGGGTCCTGGTCTGCGACAGGAGCTCCTAGCCACTACTTTAGTACAGCTAACCAGTAAAAACGAGGGCTGTCGATTTAATCACAGTTAACTCATGCAATTAACTCAAAAAAATGAATTGCAATTAAAGAAATTAATCTCAGTTTTAATCACACTGTTAAACAATAATAGAATATTTGTTTTTCTACATTTTCAAATATATTGATTTCAATTACAACAGAGTACCAAGTGTACAGTGCTCACTTTATTACTTTTGATTACAAATATTTGCATTGTAAAAATGACTAAATAGTATTTTTCAATTCAACTCATACAAGTACTGTAGTGCAATCTCTTTAGCATGAAAGTGCAACTTACAAATGTTGATTTTTGTTATATAACTGCACTCAATAACACAACAATGTAAAACTTTAGGACCTACAAGTCCACTCGGTCCTACTTCTTGTTCAGCCAATCGCTCAGACAAACAAGTTTGTTTACATTTACGGGAGATAATGCTGCCGGCTTCTTATTTACAATGTCACCTGAAAGTGAGAACAAGAGTGCCATGCGAACGCCTGTTCTCACTTTCAGGTGACATTGTATTAAATACCAGATATGCTAAACATTTGTATGCCTTGGCCACCATTCCAGAGGACATGCCTCTGTCCTGATGATGGATTGTTTTAATCGCTTGACAGCCCTAACAAAAACTTGACTGGAACCATGCTAGACATGGACATGGGTAATGTTAGCCTGGAACTCTGTGTGGGAACACAATTCGAGTTCTCTCCGTGTGCAGACCATGGTTGTGGAATCTCCATCACTGGAGATTTTTAAGAACAAGTTAGATAAACGCCCGTCAGGGATGGTCTAGATAATACTCGCTCCTGTCAGGAGTGCCGGCGAGTGTACTAGACGACCTCGCGAGGTCCCTTCCAGTGCTGTGATTTCCAAAGGCGTCTCACCTGCTCAGGCAGAGACCTGTTCCGTTGCACTCGTTGGTAAAGTGGTGAAGGGAGGTGAGAGGTGGGGGCTGGGCAGGGACCAGAGGGCCCCCAGCTCCTCCCCAGGAGGCCCCTGCTTAGATGGCTGCTGCTGGGTTAATTTGCCTCACGGCTTCTTCCTCTCCAGACCTTGGAAGTCGGCATCCGGAAGAAGATTGAACACGAGGTGATGATGAAAGCCAGCACTAGCATGGCCAAGAAGCTGACTGTGCTCAAAGCACCAGAGAAGGGAGCCAAGAAGAAGGGCCAGTCCAGCAAGTCTCCCCTGTAACCTGCGCTGCTCAGCTTGGAGCCCTGTGTCGGAACGGAGGGACGGGGGCCGCTGTGTGTCCCTGAACACAAGCGCTTTTGTAGCTGCCTCCTTGGACTTGTTCTTCCTCCTCTGTCTCCCATGGGTCATATTCCCCCATGGCCTGTTCCATGCCTTGTAGCTGGGGATGGGGGGCGGCTTAAGCCTACGTGGTTAACCTGCCTCGTGCCAGAAAGGGCACAAGCGAAGCCCGTCTTGTCACCTGGGAGGATGCTGAGGCTGACCGGGGCAGGGCAACTCGGTGGTTCCCCGCCAGGCCCCATGCGAGGGATTCTCTGTCCCTTCCCTGCGGCAGGAAAGTGACTGAGGCCTGTGCTCCCTCTGCTGGCAGCAGGTCTCCCACTGCAGAGTTGGGAAGGGTGTTTCCTCGGGCAGGAGCTGGTGCAGCCACGGAAGAGTTAGCGAGAACGGTCTCAAGGCTTTTGCTGGCTGTGGGCCCTCTCCTCCCAAGCCTGAGAGCCTCGGGGGCATTTGTGGCAGCACCTAGGAAAACCTGCCTGTGTGAATTACGCACCTGGGGCTAAACTCATTTGCTGGGAGTGGAAGGGGAGCACCTTGGGCCTGTTGAGCTGAGATGCTAAATCTCGTGTTCTCTTACCAGCTCCCTTGACTGACTCCAGCCGCGCAGATTGGTCTCTGTAAACACCTGGGGGAAGGGACGAGCTGCCGGGGTGTCTTCCTGCCCTGACCGTCCTCCGCTGCTTTAATAAAATGTACTGGGGGGAACATCCTCTCCTGTAACTCCTCTGTTCCACCTCCTTGGGGACTGTAAAATTAGGATAGCTGAAGGCCCCTGCCCTGGGGGCTTGGATACAGGATCCACATGGTCCTTGTAAGCTAACCACCCCCAAAGTCTTCTGTGGTCAGGCCCCCGTGGGGGAGGTTCCCCTTGGCTTGGCTAGCAGGGGGGCTGTGGTGGATCTGAACATAAGAAGGGCCCTATTGGGTCAGACCAAAGGACCATCTAGCCCAGTATCCTGTCTTCTGATAGTGGCCAATGCCAGGTGCCCCAGAGGGAATGAACAGAACAGGGAATCATCAAGTGATGCATCCCCGTCGCTCATTCCCAGCTTCTGGCAAACAGAGGCGAGGGACATCATCCCTATCCATCCTGGCTAATAGCCATTGATGGACCTATCCTCTGTGAACTTATCTAGTTCTTTTTTTGAACCCTGTTATAGTTTTGGCCTTCACAACATCCTCTGGCAGGGAGTTGCACAGGTTAACGGTGTGAAAAAAAACTGTGTTGTGTGAAATCTGGTCCCTGCAGGACTTCCACCCTGTGAGGGATGTGCGTCCGTGACTCCCTGTATGGCTCTATCTCATGTCCTCATCTGGCCCCATCACCAAGATGTGTGAGCACCTCACATGCTGTCTCTGTCGGGTAGGGTGGGGCTAACGCCCCACTTCAGAAGGAGGGGGCCTGAGGTGCAGAGGGGCGAGATCCAGCCCCTCAGAGCAGTTAGGCACCGAACTCCCAGGGAACTCAGTGGGTGCCGAATGCCTCGGAGGAGCTGGGCCTAAGTGACTTGGCCTGGTCACCCAAGGACTGCTGTAGCAGACCCCAGGGATCCCAATTCCCAGGTTACTGCCCTAACCACTGGGCCATCCTACCTGCTGTGGCCCTCACCGGGGGAATTAAGGGTACAGTAGTGTCTTCAGCCGGGGGCCGTCTTTTGGTAAGACCGTGCTCTAGCTCGGCTCTGGGCTACTGGGGGGATTCTCCAGCCTGCAGGAGGCTGGGGGGGGGTCTCCGGTTTGTGTTCTGCAGGAGCCCGGGCCGGATGATCGCAATAGCCCCTTCAGCCTTAACCGATGACTGCTCCCGGGTGAGTGCCGGCGCGCAAACCTCGGGACACGGATTCGGCGCTGCTGAGGCCTGGTCCACACGAAGGCTGCGTCTACACCCCAAGCGACGGCAGCGTTTTGCCATTGACCTATCGGTGTCTGCGCTGGGAGTTCTGGCCACATGCCCCCGGCGCTTTGCGGGCGGGGGGGATTTTCACACCTGTGTTGATTTAACTTTTCCATGTCGACGAGCGCTGTCCCGGTATGCTATGCCAGGAGAGCCGGCGAGCGTGGGCGCTGGCAGAGCCGTGCTGTGTACGGGTCTGCCTTACGAGCAAAACCAGCGACGCTAAGCTCTTCTGCTCGCTGTCGGCCAGGGCTCACACCTCTTCGTGCCCCCGCTGGCCAGAGCTGTGCACCAGACAGCTGCAGTGTAGATGTGGCTTGTGCATTACCTGGTGCTGGCTCCCCTGCCCATGTGCTAGACTGGCCTGTTCTCACTCTCCAAGGCCCAGTTCAGCTCCTTAACCTGATTAACTCCCATCCAGGCGGCTGGTGATGGAGTGTTTTCGTTTCAGGGGCATGGGGGAGGTGATCCTGGCTGCTGGAGGTCATGGAGGGAGGCATAGTGAGCTGTGTGTGTGTGGGGAGGTTTGAGGGAGATAGATCAAAGCATCTTCCCTGCGAGTGGGTCAGAGGGATTAGAAGGGGGCAGAATGAATGGAGACTAAAAACACTGGGTCTCAGTGCGATGAATCCTTCACCCCTGCCAGCCTTTGTCACTTGCACGTGCTAACAGCCCAGCGCTGGGAAGGAAGGAGGTTTTCATCTGCTCCTGCTGGACCTGGCCTGGTCTTTGATCTGTTGGAGCTGTGGCAGCCCCCTTCCCTGCGGATAATCGGCTCTGCTAAGCCCGGGCCTCGTTTCTAATCAGATGGGGCAGGCGGGAGGGGTGATGGGGCTGGAGCCCTTTGCAGCAGGAGCTGAACTTCCAATCCCCTCCCCTCTGATAATTCTCCGGGGCCTGGCTGCAGTGTATTTGATGACTCCCAGCCCAGTTCTCTGGGGAGCAGAGGAGGAAACTCAAGAACAGAGATTAGAAGCAAAGTGGCAGGGGGGCAGGAGTTGGGGATAGAACCCAGGAGTCCTGCACCCAGCCTCCCCTGCTCTAACCCACTAGTCCCCACTCCCCTCACAGAGCCGAGGAGAGAACCCAGGAATCCTGGCTCCCAGTCCCCTGCTCTAACCCACTAGTCCCCACTCCCCTCACAGAGCTGGGGAGAGAACCCAGGAATCCTGGCTCCCATCCCCCCTGCTCTAACCCACTAGTCCCCACTCCCCTCACAGAGCCGGGGAGAGAACCCAGGAATCCTGGCTCCCAGTCCCCCTGCTCTCGCCACTGGGCCCCACACTCAGTTATTTCTTGATGCTCCATCATTTAGCACAGACAATTCCCCACCCGTGCCAAGCCTGTGGGGCATTCAGCAAGGTCCCATCTTTCCTGTGCTAACTCTTCACGTGTGGGAGGAACCTCCAGGTTCCAGTGGGGATGCGGATTCCAAGTGATCTCCGAAGCTGGCTCTGTTTGAAGTAAGAGGCCTCCGGCAATGAGCTGCCCAGAGAACTGTAGACCTCCAAGGGAATGGGGATTATCCTGGGCTGGGGGACCCCCATCAGCCCCCAATTGTCTGCAGGGAACAATGGGGATTCCGCAGGGGCCAGTTCAAGGCTGTTCTGACCGCTGGAAGCAACCGAAAGGAGGGACCCCCATGCTGTCTGCCCCACTAACCCAGCTCCCAGACCTCACAGCTGGGGGAAGCAGCTTAAACCTCTTTTTATTTATACAGTGGATTTAGCCCTGGGGGAAAGTGCAGGTTAGTGGCTAGGAGAGGGGCACTGGAGCCAGGACTCCTGGGTTCTATTCCTGGCTCCAGGAAGGGAGTGGGGTCTTGTGGCTGCAGCAGACTTGGTCCAGGACTCCTGGGTTCTATTCTGAGCTCTGGCAGGGGAATGTGGTCTAGTGGCTAAAGCAGCAGATTGGGGGATCTGGATTCTATTCCTGGCTTTACTTCTGCCTCATTCGGTGACCTCAGACCCGATCACTTCCTCCGGCTGGGCCCCAGTTTCTCATTCTGTAAAGCAGAGATACCGCAGGCCTGTGTCTCCAGGGCTGGTGGGTCCATGTTCACCACGTGCTTTGAGATCCGAAGGGGCAAAAGGGCGTCAGGGTTACTCTAGCCCAGAATCTGCCTCCTTATGCACCTTGCTTCGTCCCCGGGTGTTAGTTCCTCCCGGCTCCTAGGAGCCCCCTGCTCCCAGCAGCAGCAAGGGGGTGGGTGGATTCGGTTGAGGTCAGAGCTGGAACCACACTCCCCAGATGCTGAACAGGGAAGGAAGCGGGGGTTGGAGGGGGCGCAGGTGTGAGTAGGATTGCCGACACCTCAAATGCAGAGAGGGCCGCTCAAGGAGATGTTTGTGCACAAGATGTTTCATGTTGGTGAGAGACTCCAGCCCTGGAGATTTGGCAGCAGGGCATCTCTCCTTTCCCAGGCCCCTGACCCTTCACTGCAACCTTATCTGCAACCCAGGCCTTTGCTTGAAGAATGGTCCAGTGGCCAAATCAAAAGGATGGGAGCCAGGCGATCTGGAATCCGCTCCCAGCTCTAGAAGGTCTGTGGCCTAGTGGTTAGAGGAGATGGAGGACACCTGGGTTCTATTCCCAGCCCTGCCACTGACTTGCTCGGTGACCTTGAGCAAGTCACTTCCCCCCGTGCCTCACTTTCCCTACCTGTAAAATGGGGCTAATGTTACTGCCCACTGCTTTGCAGGATTTTGGGGGAATCTCATTATGAATGGAGCCTCACGAGAGCTGGGGACACACCAAGGTACTATCATCATTGCTCTTTGGGGAGAGCCGCCATTGGAATGAAGAGTGCCTGGATCCCTTCTTGGCATCCCGGCAGAGAGTGCCAGCTGTGTCCCTGCAGGAACACACCCCTGGCTCTCACAATGGGAGACAACTTCCAACAGCTACTAGTCACACCTGAATCAGGTCTGGGTTTCTGGAGCACACGCCTTAGTTGCATCTGCACGGCAATAGATTAATAACAACCCCTAGTTCCTATCTACCGCTTTTCATCAGCAGCTCTCAAAGCACTTTACAAAGGAGGTCGGCATCGTTATCCCCATTTTACAGAGGGGGAAACTGAGGCACGGAAAGGCAAAGTGACTTGCCCAATGTCACTCAGTGGCAGAGCCAGAAATAAAACGCTGGTCTCCCAAGTCCCTGACCAGTGCTTTATCCACCAGACCACATGGCTCTAAAGAGAAACCAAGTTGACTTTTAATCATTTTTAGGGGGGGGAGGGGAATCGGTGGGACAATCACATCATAGCCAATGTCCCCTGTACACAAGTACCTGCTTGTCCACGAAAGTCACGGACGCTTCCAAATCCTACCTTGAATCTAGGCTGCACTGTGGTTTCTTAACAGGCTCAGACCCAACGAGCATTGAGATTTGGAACAAGTTTTAGCAAGAACTCCTTTGAACAGGGTTCCTGATTATCTGGCTCCTGACTGGGTCTTAGAAAAATGCAAAATGAGGTGTTTAATACAATGCAAAATTGCATTGCAGTTGGCTACTCTCCTGCAAGCAATCATTAATCATCATTAAGTAATCCAAGTCTGAATTGAAGCTAGGACACGGTAAGTGTGAGAGTTCCACACTCATCGCTTGTCCTGTTCATTCAGTCGCACCATGTCAATGAAGGCGGCTAGAGCACTGACCCAGGAGACTTGGGTTCTATTCTTAGCTCTGACTGGGGACCTTGAGTAAGTCACACCACCTCTGTGCCTCAGTTTCCCCATCTACAAAAGGAGATCACGATCCTGGCCTTTTCTACAAAGCAGGAAGATCTTCTGGTGAGAAGCCAGCTCTTGTTAGATCAGGGATTCCTATCTGCTATAACCTCCCCTGGTAAGGTATGGAAAGGGTGGGATAACCAACACCTGAACCCCCCATTGGTACCCCCACCGCAGAGCATGGCGTGGAACTGGCCGTATGTACCCTCTCTCCGGGAAGAGAGGGGCAGCGCTCAGATGTCCTGTGGGTGGGGTGGTACCTCTAACTGTCTCAGACACCTCCCAATATAAAGTGTGTTGCCCCTCAGGGGAATGGCTACGTGGGCTTCCTAAACTCAGTTTCCCTGGGCTTCCCCAAGCACGGGCCTAGTTTCTGCCCTGTGCCAGCAGAATCACAAGGAACCTCCTCTTGTCTGAGCTGAGGAACCTTCTGAACCTACTGAAATGCAGCCACCTCTGGGGAGGGGAGTGACAGCGGATAGTAACAGAGAAAGGGGGGACACTTGGGCAAACCCCTGTTCTTAGGGATGCTGCCCCGCCTCACCGACTAGCATCCCTCCCGCTTTTGTCTTCATGGGCTCTGGATATTATCCATCCCCGCCCCCCCCCCCAAGTCCCGTAAAATTAACCGGAGCCCTTTATAAACAGCAGCCTTTTGGGTCCTTCCACGGGGCAAGGGGATTTGCATGGGTCGCTCTGGTTTGCATGGGATGGGAGAACAGGTGGGAACGTGCTGCCCTGGGGTGGGAGGTA